CAGCTTAGCAACCAATGATGCTATGCAGCTGACAGCATCCTAGCAACCAAGGACGCCGTTTGTCCTGGAGGCTGAACATAAGCTGAGGATGGAGTGTCCAGTATGGACTCTTTGGGTGCAGTGCTGCTCCCCAACATACCATCTTCCAACAGGTGCGTAAATACATCTCAGGCAGGGGCGGACTGACCATTTGGAAACTCGGGCACTGCCCGAGGGCCCGGGGTCAGTAGGGGGCCCCATGAGGTGCCCCTGGTACCCTTTTTCATAGGCTTTTTTGAGTTTGGGGCCCCATGATTTCCTATTGCCCGGGGGCCCCATGAGTTGTCAGTCCACCCCTGATCTCCGGCAACAACACTCTTAATTATGATGGGCGACTGACAAGTTCTCAGCCTACCAATGAAAGCAGGGGCGGACTGACCATTTGGAAACTCGGGCACTGCCCGAGGTCAGTAGGGGACCCCATGAAATGCCCCTGGTACCTTTTTCATAGGCTTTTTTGGGTTTGGGCAAGGACACAGGGCCCCATGATCCCCTATTGCCCGGGGGCCCCATGAGTTGTCAGTCCACCCCTGAATGAAAGGTTATCGTAATTGCACTGTAATAGTAAAAATTGCCATTGTTTCATATAGAATACTTTTTAACCTATTTTCATAATGTGTTATAATTCACAGCTGCTCATCTGTCAATTTACCTCACAGTACATGTACACATTGTGGACACTTGGCCATCACACCTATAGAAGCTTGTTGGACATCCCATTCCCAAACCATGGCCATTTATACGGAGTTGGTTCCACACTGCAGCTTCCTCTCTTCTGGGAAGGCTTTCCAAAAGATTTTAGTAGGTTTCTGAGGGTATTTGTGCACATTCAGCCAAAAGAGCATCTGTAAGGTCAGGTAATGATGTTGGATGAGAAGACCTGATCCCAAAGGTGTTGAGTAGAGTTGAGGTCAGGTACTGATGTTGGATGAGAATACCTGATCCCAAAGGTGTTGAGTAGAGTTGAGGTCAGCTACCGATGTTGGATGAGAAGAACCAATCCTTAATGTGTTCAGTAGGGTTTAGGTCAGGTACTGATGTTGAATGAGAAGATCTGATCCCAAAGGTGTTGAGTAGAGTTGAGATCAGGTACTGATGTTGGATGAGAAGACCTGATCCCAAAGGTGTTGAGTAGAGTTGAGGTCAGCTACCGATGTTGGATGAGAAGAACCAATCCTTAATGTGTTCAGTAGGGTTTAGGTCAGGTACTGATGTTGAATGAGAAGATCTGATCCCAAAGGTGTTGAGTAGAGTTGAGATCAGGTACTGATGTTGGATGAGAAGACCTGATCCCAAAGGTGTTGAGTAGAGTTGAGGTCAGCTACTGCTGTTGGATGAGAAGACCTGATCCCAAAGGTGTTGAGTAGAGTTGAGGTCAGCTACTGATGTTGGATGAGAAGACCTGATCCCAAAGGTGTTGAGTAGAGTTGAGGTCAGGTACTGATATTGGACGAGATAGAGTTGAGGTCAGCTACTGATGTTGGATGAGAAGACCTGATCCCAAAGGTGTTGAGTAGAGTTGAGGTCAGGTACTGATGTTGGATGAGAAAACCTGATCCCAAAGGTGTTCAGTAGGGTTGAGGTCAGCTACTGATGTTGGATGAGAAGACCTGATCCCAAAGGTGTTGAGTAGAGTTGAGGTCAGGTACTGATATTGGACGAGATAGAGTTGAGGTTAGGTACTGATGTTGGATGAGAAGTTCTGATCCCAAAGGTGTTCAGTAGGGTTGAGGTCAGGTACTGATGTTGGATGAGAAGATCTGATCCAAAAGGTGTTCAGTAGGGTTGAGGTCAGGTACTGATGTTGGATGAGAAGACCTGATCCCAAAGGTGTTCAGTAGGGTTGAGGTCAGGTACTGATGTTGGATGAGAAGATCTGATCCCAAAGGTGTTGAGTAGAGTTGAGGTCAGCTACTGATGTTGGATGAGAAGACCTGATCCCAAAGGTGTTGAGTAGAGTTGAGGTCAGGTACTGATGTTGGATGAGAAGACCTGATCCAAAATGTTCTCAGTAGGGTTGAGGTCAGCTACCAATGATGTTGGATGAGAAGACCTGATCCCAAAGGTGTTCAGTAGGGTTGAGGTTAGGTACTGATGTTGGATGAGAAGACCTGATCCCAAAGGTGTTGAGTAGAGTTGAGGTCAGGTACTGATATTGGATAAGATAGAGTTGAGGTCAGGTACTGATGTTGGATGAGAAGTTCTGATCCCAAAGGTGTTCAGTAGGGTTGAGGTCAGGTACTGATGTTGGATGAGAAGACCTGATCCCAAAGGTGTTCAGTAGGGTTGAGGTCAGGTACTGATGTTGGATGAGAAGATCTGATCCCAAAGGTGTTGAGTAGAGTTGAGATCAGGTACTGATGTTGGATGAGAAGACCTGATCCCAAAGGTGTTGAGTAGAGTTGAGGTCAGCTACTGATGTTGGATGAGAAGACCTGATCCCAAAGGTGTTGAGTAGAGTTGAGGTCAGGTACTGATGTTGGATGAGAAGACCTGATCCCAAAGGTGTTCAGTAGGGTTGAGGTTAGGTACTGATGTTGGATGAGAAGACCTGATCCCAAAGGTGTTGAGTAGAGTTGAGGTCAGGTACTGATATTGGATAAGATAGAGTTGAGGTCAGGTACTGATGTTGGATGAGAAGTTCTGATCCCAAAGGTGTTCAGTACTGTTGAGGTCAGGTACTGATGTTGGATGAGAAGACCTGATCCCAAAGGTGTTCAGTAGGTTTGAGGTCAGGTACTGATGTTGGATGAGAAGACCTGATCCCAAAGGTGTTCAGTAGGGTTGAGGTCAGGTACTGATGTTGGATGAGAAAACCTGATCCCAAAGGTGCTCAGTAGGGTTGAGGTCAGGTACTGATGTTGGATGAGAAAACCTGATCCCAAAGGTGTTCAGTAGGGTACTGTGTACAGTACTGTGAAGCAAAACAAAAAGAAAGCGCACCAACCTTGCGCATTACCTCAGTAAACCATATTTTAATAAATTCAGAATAATACTCACAAACAACGAAGTAAATCAAGCATGTAAGTCCTCAAAGGAACTTTAGAAGTGTGAAGCCTGTGCAAGTCACATCATAGGGGTAGATTCTCAGAGGACTGCTGACGCGTTTCGAAGAGGGTCCCTTCTTCATCAGAGCTGGTTGAAAGGACCAGCTGGTTGTGTCCCCCCCCCCCCCCAGGCCAAATTCGTGGAAACAGCCAAGCCCTTTAGTTTGGAATACTGTCCACAAAAACAGTTGCGCAGATATGGTGCAACCAGGGGCGGACTGACAACTCATGGGCCCCCGAGCAATAGGGGATCATGGGGCCCCTGTGCCTTGCCCAAACTCAAAAAAGCCTATGAAAAAGGTACCAGGGGAATCTCATGGGGCCCCCTACTGACCTCGGGCCTTCGGGCAGTACCCGAGTTTCCAAATGGTCAGTCCGCCCCTGGGTGCAACATAATAAAATCTCAACCGCCACTATTTTATTTTACACGGCCTTTGCCTTCAGAAAATATAGAATTTTTTGAGGGTTATCTTCTAGCAAAAATGTAAATTTGGACAAGTGTGAAAAAAAAAAAATTGCCCCGGAGTCCGGACCCAAAGTGGTTAATCCGGTTTGTCAAATACAAAGGATATTTTTCTTGTTTCTCGGTAAGAAAAGACAGTTGTCTCCAAAAGCCTGTTATTCTGCATAGACAGGAACAGGGGTGGACTGACAACTCATGGGGCCCCCGGGCAATAGGGGATCATGGGGCCCCTGTGTCCTTGCCCACACTTGCACAACCCAAAAAAAAGCCTATAAAAGGTACCAGGGGCATTTCATAGGGCCACCTACAGGCCCCAGGCCCTCGGGCAGTGGCCGAGTGCTCGAATGGTCAGTCCGCCCCGGGCAGGAACTAAACCAACCTAGCAGCATTGGTGAGGCCGGGCTTATCAGCTAGGGGCTAGAGAGGAGGAGGGGAGTACAAGGCACCAAAACACAATGGGGCAGGCTGCTTGTGACAGTACACTCCTCAGCTGGTATTGGTGGGGACCACTTTTTTATTGCAATATTATTGCAGCCGCATACAGTATTTCAGTAATAGGTCACCTAATGTAGATGACTCTGTCTTCCTGAAAGCAAAAAAAAAAAAAAAGAAAGACGAAATAAGGCTACGTTCACACTAGCGTTGTGTGCAGGCGGCAGAGAGGCGTTTGGGAAGCGTTTTTACCGCTTCCCAAACGCCTCGGACAATTCTGCACATTACAGCACATGGTGCTGTTCTAACGGCAGCGTTTTGCGTCGCGTCGCATTGCGTCGCGGCAAAACGGACACCTTTGGTCGAGTCAGGAGGCTTTGAAAGCCTCCTATTCTCGTCTATGGTGCCGCTCCGCAAACGCCCGGCCGAACGAGCCCTAACAACACGAGTCGTAGAAGCCTAGACTTGGCACAGAGCTGGTCCTTTAGGGCTCGTTTACACTTGACTGTTTTACCAACGCTTGCCAAATGCCCCTATAGCGTTTGGCAAGCGTCGGTCCGGCGTTTGCGGAGCGTTTTTTAACGCTCGGCAAACGCTCCGCAAACACCGCATGCGCGGTTTAGTGGCGGTTGCTAGGCGTTTGCCGAGCGTTAATAACGCCCCAGAAACGCCTATAATGCAGTTTGAGTGGTGTTACCGCTCCGCAAACGCCCGCAACCTTGTTGCAAACGCCGGCCGGGCGTTTGCGGAACGGCACCATAGATGAGAATAGGAGGCTTCAAAGCCTCCTGACTCGACCAGAGGTGTCCGTTTTGCCGCGACGTTAACGCTCCCGTTAGAACAGCACCATGTGCTGTAATGTGCAGAATTGGCAGAGGCGTTTGGGAAGCGGTAAAAACGCTTCCCAAACGCCTCTCTGCCGCCTCCACACAACGCTAGTGTGAACGTAGCCTTACAAGGGGCCAGTCTATCAGGGGTCTCTGATTTCACCTGATGTAAAGGGGAACTCTGATGGGGACCCTGATGTAAGGGAGGACTCTGATGGGGACCCTGATGTAAGCAAGGACTCTGATGGGGACCCTGATGTAAGGGGGCACTCTGATGGGGACCCTGATGTAAGGGAGGACTCTGATGGGGACCCTGATGTAAGCGAGGACTCTGATGGGGACCCTGATGTAAGGGGGCACTCTGATGGGGACCCTGATGTAAGGGAGCACTCTGATGGGGACCCTGATGTAAGGGAGGACTCTGATGGGGACCCTGATGTAAGCGAGGAATCTGATGGGGACCCTGATGTAAAGGGGAACTCTGATGGGGACCCTGATGTAAAGGAGGACTCTGAATGGAACTCTGATGTAATGGGGTACCCTGATGTTAGGGGAACTCTGATGCGGACCCTGATGTAAAGGGGAACTCTGATGGGGACCCTGATGTAAGGGAGGACTCCGAATGGAACTCTGATGTAATGGGGTACCCTGATGTAAAGGAGCACTCTGAATGGAACTCTGATGTAATGGGGGACCCTGATGTTAGGGGAACTCTGATGGGGACCCTGATGTAAAGGGGAACTCTGATGGGGACCCTGATGTAAAGGAGGACTCTGAATGGGACTCTGATGTAATGGGGGACCCCGATGTTAGGGGAACTCTGATGGGGACCCTGATGTAAAGGGGAACTCTGAATGGAACTCTGTTGTAATGGTGGTCACCTGATGTAAGGGGAACTCTGATAGGGACCCTGATGTAAAGGAGGACTCTGAATGGGACTCTGATGTAATGGGGGACCCCGATGTTAGGGGAACTCTGATGGGGACCCTGATGTAAAGGGGAACTCTGATGGGGACCCTGATGTAAGGGAGGACTCTGAATGGAACTCTGATGTAATGGGGGACTCTGATGTTAGGGGAACTCTGATGGGGACCCTGATGTAAGGGAGGACTCCGAATACAACTCTGTTGTAATGGGGGACCCTGATGTAAAGGAGGACTCTGAATGGAACTCTGTTGTAATGGGGGACCCTGATGTAAAGGAGGACTCTGAATGGAACTCTGTTGTAATGGGGGACCCTGATGTAAAGGAGGACTCTGAATGGAACTCTGTTGTAATGGGGGTCACCTGATGTAAGGGGAACTCTGATGGGGACCCTGATGTAAGGGGAACTCCGATGATGGGGACCCTGATGTAAAGGGAACTCTGATGGGGACCCTGATGTAAGGGGAACTCTGATGGGGACCCTGATGTAAAGGAGGATTCTGAATGGAACTCTGATGTAATGGGGGATCCTGATGTTAGAGGAACTCTGATGGGGACCCTGATGTAAGGGAGGACTCCGAATGGAACTCTGTTGTAATGGGGGTCACCTGATGTAAGGGGAACTCTGATGGGGACCCTGATGTAAAGGAGGATTCTCAATGGAACTCTGATGTAATGGGGGACCCTGATGTTAGAGGAATTCTGATGACTGTCTATGGCATTATGGTTGACCTCAAAGGGCCAGTTGTATCTGTAAGACTAGATGTTTAGAGCCCCCCCCTTACATCAGATGTCACAAGCACCCCCCACCTTTCCTTACATCACAGTGCACCACCCTTGCTTTTTGCTGCTGCTGCTGCTGGGAAGAATCTGGGGGTGGAGCTTGGAAGCAGAAAGTGCAGGGTCTGGAGGAGGGCAAGAGGAGGGCTGCCGGAGTCTACTGAATGATGAGACTGGGGGAGGCAGGCGACGTGGTGCTGCAACTGCACAGAGAGGTGCAGGATCTGTAGGAGGAGTTATTTCCTCCTCTCTGCTGCTGAATGTTGAGAAGGAGGGGAGTGACAGAGACAGAGGTGCAGGATCTGGAGGAGGAATTTTGTCCTCCACTCTGATGCCAACTGCTAAGACAAGATGGGGAAGGTAACAAGGGGGGGGGGGGGGGGGCGCAGCTGTGAGGGAGGTGTGAGGGCCACATGAAATGGTCTGGAAGATTGTATTCAGCCTAGGGGCCTTCTGTTTGACACACGTGGTCTATGGACTCTGCTTCTGATGAGTACCTAAATGTAAGGGGGACCCTGACGTAGGTGAGGACTCTGCTGGTAACCCTGATGTAAGGGGGGGACTCTTATGGTGACCCTGAAGGGAATTCTGATGTAATGGGGGGAACCTTGATGGGAACTCTGATGTGAGGGGCAGAGACGGACTGACCATTTGGGCCCGGGGTCAGTAGGGGGCCCCATGAGATGCCCCTGGTACCATTTTCATAGTCTTTTTTTGAGTTTGGGCAAGGACACAGGGGCCCCATGATCCCCTATTGCCCGGGGGCCCCATGAGTTGCCAGTGCGCCCCTGCCTCCTACTGAAAGTTTTGGAGACCCCAGCTCTAGAAGGTCCAGTGAAAATGAAAGTCATACCCCCAGTGTTCTGAGATTGCTTTGGAGTGTGTCAGTCCGCCCCTGGTAAGGGGGGACTCTGATGATTGTCTATGATCTCTGCTTTGACCTAATCTAAGAAGGAGTCTGATGGGTATCAAAATGTAAGGGGGATTCTGAAAGGGGCTCTGATGTAATGGAGGACTCTGATATAAGAGTGACTCTGATGACATGCCTGATGTAAGGGGGGGACTCTGAAGTAACAGGGACTTTGATGGGAACCCTGATAGAAGGGGGCTCTAAAGTAAATGGGGCCCTGAAGTATGGGGGAACTCAACTTCTAGAAGTGATTCAAAGTTTTGGAAAATATACCACGTGACCCTCCTACCAGGGGCGGACTGACCATTTGGAAACTCGGGCACTGCCCGAGGGCCCGGGGTCAGTAGGGGGCCCCATGAGATGCCCCTGGTACCTTTTTCATAGGCTTTTTTGAGTTTGGGCAAGGACACAGGGGCCCCATGATCCCCTATTGCCCGGGGGCCCCATGAGTTGTCAGTGCACCCCTGCCTCCTACTGAAAGTTTTGGAGACCCCAGCTCTAGAAGGTCCAGTGAAAATGAAAGTCATACCCCCAGTGTTCTGAGATTGCTTTGGAGTGTACAAAACCCAGCTCCTGGTGGATTTCCTCCACCGATTCCTGGTGGCGCTCCTCCACCGATTCCTGGTGGCGCTCCTCCACCGATATCTGGTGGACCTCCTCCACCGATATCTGGTGGACCTCCTCCACCGATTCCTGGGGGACCTCCTCCACCGATATCTGGTGGACCTCCTCCACCGATTCCTGGGGGACCTCCTCCTACGATTCCTGTTGGATCTCCTCCACTGATTCCTGGTGGACCTCCTCCACGATTCCTGGTGGATCTCCTCCACCGATTCCTGCTGCCCTCTTTTGAACATTCTCCTTCTACCTCCTTTATTTTTCCTAAATGTTATCTCCAAACATACTCTTTTTTTTTCCTATAGATGTTTGATCTGGTTGGCCGTCACCTTCTGATACTCTTCCTCCTGCAGTTAATGGGCCCTGAATGTTGTAATTGTCCTGTTCGCCGGAGCAGCTTGATGACCTACCAGGGAGGAACGTGTCCTTGACTCTTCCTTGGCTGGGTTGCCGTACACTCGACGATCTCTTTTACATTTACCAATACTATGTAATATGAGGACAAACCTAGACAATCCAATCCACTTCTATCCAATTGCACAGTTCCGTGTTTTACATACTGAAGTTATTAGCAGAGCTACAGGAAATTGTACATCCAGATGGTATAGGGTTTGGCCAGCATAACCCTCCGTGTTGCAACCAAGGATATATCCCCCCCCATGACCATCACCACCCAGGGAGAATAATGGAACCAGCATGGAAGGGTGACCGAGAAAGGAAAAGGACAGAACTCCCTTCCCCCATGGCCATCAAAACACAGGGAGAATAGGCGAACCAGCATAGAAGGGTTACCAGAAGGAAATAAATAGATTCCTTATCTCCCAATGGCCGTGTCAGGGACCATCGCGACTCATGGGTCTACACAGGCGTAGGTGTCTGCCAAGGCGCGTAGGTGGCAGGGCACTAGGACCCAGGCGCACCCGTCGTCTTGACAGTACTAGGCAGGCACTAGGACCTAGGCTGCACCTGTCAGGTGCAGGGCGGGCTATTTAAACAAGCTCTGCAACAAACACTTGTTGCCGAATGGTCTTTGTATGCTGTTACCTGTGTTGTGAGTATCTTGATCTGGATTGTTTGACCTTGCTGCCTTCTCCTGTCCTGACCCTTGGCCTGCCTGACTCTGCTCCTGGATGTTCCCCTTTAAATCTGATCTTTTGGTATTGACCCTGCGTGTGACCCGACTATCCTTTGCCTACCGTTTTGTACCTCACCGACCACTAGTTACCGACCCGGCCTGTATGACTCTGATTTATCTCATCATCCATCCCGCAGGGATCACTAGGCTCCCTCACATCAGACTCTTAGCCCCCTGGAGCTCCTGTCAGACTCCTCTACCCCTGTTGGAGATACCTAGCAGTTGCGACCTGGTACCGGAGCGCTCCAAGTCCATCCCCACCATCAGGGGCCCTGGTGAACAAGTGCTCCGGTGCTTAGACTCCGCACTCTGGGGAGGCTCTGCCAGGGGATTGATAGAGGTGCTGTCAGGCGGTCCATTACAGGCCGTCACCATGCAGGGTGAATAATGGAACCAGTACTGAAGGGTGACCAAGAAAGGAAATGGACAGAGCTCCCTTCCCCCAATGGCCGTCACCATGCAGGCTGAATAAGGGAACCAGGAAGGAGAGGTGACCTAGAAGAGAAAAGGATAGATACTTCTCCCCTCACCATGGCCATGAAAACCCAGGGTGAATAAGGGAACCAGTATTGAAGGGTGACCGAGAAAGGAAAAGGACAGAGCTCCCTTCCCCCCATGGCCATCAAAACCCAGGGAGAAAAAGGGAACCAGCATGGAAGGGTGACCGAGAAAGGAAAAGGACAGAGCTCCCTTCCCCCCATGGCCATCAAAACCCAGGGAGAATAGGGGAACCAGCATGGAAGGGTTACCAGAAATAAAAAGATAGAGATACCTTATTTCCCAATGGCCATCAAACATGCAGGGTGAATAAGGGAACCAGCAAGGAGAAGTGACCTAGAAGAGAAAAGGATAGAGCCCCCCCCCCCCTCCATCCATGGCCATGAAAACCCAGGGAGAATAGGGGAACCAGTATGGAAGGGTGACCGATAAATAAAATGGACAGAGCTCCTTTCCCCCCATGGCCATCACCACCCAGGGAGAATAGGGGAACCAGCATGGAAGGGTGACCGAGAAAGGAAAAGGACAGAACTCCCTTCCCCCCATGGACATCAAAACCCAGGGAGAATAGGGGAACCAGCATGGAAGGGTTACCAGAAGGAAAAAGATAGATACCTTATCTCCCAATGGCCGTCACCATGCAGGGTAAATAAGGGAACCAGCAAGGAGAGGTGACCTAGAAGGAAAAGGATAGAGCCCCCCCCCCCTCAATCCATGGCCATCACCACTAAGGGTGAATAAGGTACCCAGCATAAAGAGATGACCTAGAAGAAAACATGATACATCTCCTCTCCCCACATGGCCATTACCACCAGGGGCGAATACGGGGAACAGCATGAAAAGGTTACCTACAAGATTGAAAGATTTCCCCTCCCCCCATGGCCATCATTGCCCAGGCTGAATAAAGCAACCAGCATGGAGAGGATACCTAGAAGGGAAAAATATAGACCCCCGTTGTTCATCAGCACCCAAGGTGAATGAATAAACTGGCATGGAGAGGTGACCTAGAAGGGAAGAGGACTTCCCACAGTGGCCATCACTACCCAGGGTGACTAAGGAAATCAGCATTAAAAGGTGACCTAGAAAGGATGAAAGTAAATAAGAGAACTAGCATGAAGAGGTGACCTAGAAGGGAAAAGGATAGACCCCCCCTCCCCCCATGGTGATCACCACTCAAGGTGAATGAGGGAACCAACATGGAGAGGTGACCTAGAAGGGATGGCCATCAATCTCAAGAGTAAATAAGGGAACTAGCATGGAGAGAGGACCTAGAAGGGAAAAGGATAGATCCCCCCTCCCCCCCATGGCCATTACCACCCATGGTGAATAACGGGACCAGCATGGAATGGTGACCTAGAACGAAAAAGCATAGATCACCCCCCCTCCCCCCATGGTGATCGCCACTCAGGGTGAATGAGGGAACCAACATTGAGAGGTGACCTAGAAAAAAAAAAAAGAATAGATCCCCCCTCTTGCAGTGGCCATCGCTACCCATGGTGAATGAGGGAACCAACATGGAGAGGTGACCTAGAACGGAAAAATAAAAGGAGTCAGAGATTCCACCTTTCGATCCCCATACTAGAACTCCCCTTTAATTCTACAAGGGACAAAAATACACCGAGGAGCCTCGTGAATATTCTACAATTTTTTGATTCTCACCATTTCCTTTCCCTGGAGGTAGAAGATCTCTCCCGAGTGCGCCATCA